TCTGACTTTCAACATACTTCGGTCTCATCTGTGACCATCACACTGAACAGTGTTGGTGCTGCTGGTGCTAGGGATATGAATTTGTAGCTGCTCCTGCAGTTCTTAATTGTCCGTTTGCTGCTGATGTTACAGCTACAATAAACAGCCTCTGCGGTCGCATCAGGCTTTTGTGCTTAATGACCATTACTAGGCAGTCTTGTGCTGTCTCTAACTTGCTTGCTTGGGGCTGGCAACCCGGGCAATATTGGTGTTGTCGTTTCCTCTGCACGCATGTAGCTCTTATTTTGCACAGTCTGTGGTTGTCAGCGAAGGGGCGTATCTGCTTGCACGCTTGGCCAGTGGTTCTCAAGATTTCAGTTCTTTCGAAAGTCTGCTGGCTTCTTTTCAATTCCTTCTCTTCATCAACATGCCCCCGACATTTCTTTGGCAACGTGTACTCGGCGAAGCATGACATGTAACATCTTCAAATCGTGGGTGACAAACGCAATGATTTCGCAAAGGCGCCCAGCAGTGCTGCATTCCCTTGTTGGCATGCTTGTGGCCACAGTCGGACAAGGCCTGCCACGCGGACTGCAAATGCTGGTTTGAGGCAACGCTAGGGTTCAGGGCCTTCTGGAAGCAGGTGGGTTACGCATCCATCACTAGCACAGCCGACTCGTTCGTAGGTCTGCGATAAATACTCGCATCTGCTGCCCTACAGAGGCAGACTGTCATTGAGCACTGCCGTGAATGGTGTCTACCACGTTCTTGAATCACAACATGTACAAAAAATCGGGGACTTCTATGACAGCGAGGGAGGCTTTGCTGACACAGTTCTGGCGAGGAAGGGATTGTTCCGGAAAACTACAAAAGCGCACTGTTCTGGAGCACTTGTTCGCACATTCCTGTGGGATCCGTCCAAGATGTAATGATAGTGTTGCTTGATTGCTGAAGGGATGCTGCTGTACAACTCTGCGCCAAACTTCATGGGGTTTGGAAATATGCAAGGTTTGTTGTCAATCTTTTTGCAAGTGGGGTAGCCCCTTTTCGTTTGAAGCTCCCATATGTCAACCTAAGGCTGCCAACATCGGCTTGCTGTGGCGACCCGTCTCCGACGACGCTGCTACACGTTAGGACGAGAAATTTGGATTGTTTCGAGGTCCCCTCAATGCAGCAGCAGTATCAACGTCTGGTCCACGGTGGTTCACCGGTTGCCTGCAGACACCCATGTCAACACCTGTGCGCGGACAACGGTTCGAAGCGAAAGGAGGAAGACATAACTTGCCAAGCATTGGTCCTTCAATTGCTGCTGTCATGTTACTCGTACAATTCAACTGGATACGATCTCATCTGTCTCGCGTACTGGTATGCCGAGCATGACGCCAGTCGTGCGAGAAGCACGGTTTTCATGTTCTGCCGGTGCATGGTGGCGATATCCAACCTGGTACACCTCTTGCTTCTGCACTCTGATTCCTTCGACGCATGTTCGAGGGACTGTCCTTAGCCAAACCCGTGCCTGAAAGCCTGACCAGCCCGTGATTTGGATGGCATGTCATGGGATCGTGTCCGATCCGCGTCGCGGCTGTGGCGGACACTTTAGTTGGTAGGGCTGCTATAGGTGGGCAACTAGTAGCCGAGATCTGGCTGGCACCAAGGCGAGACATGCGGCACGGTCGGCTTGGTTCTGCAACTCGGGCCTGGCTTCAGAGAGCCCAGTTCTAATCATTGTCATGTTGTACGGTGTCTTTCGGTGAAGTATCGCAAAGTGGAGGCCTCGTCGAGGATTTGGGCTCAGGCTCGGTATTAATGGGTTGGCCCGTGCCCTTAGACCTGAAGTTTGCGGATTTTTGGTTCAAACGGGTTCAATGTGCCTGCAGACTCGGCCGGTCACATCGCCATCGAAGCCTCCACCCAAACCTGAAGTTTGTGCGAATTCTAAGTGTGCAAGTGAAAAACAATGCAAGACAGGAACCACATATTCAAAATTGTTTGCATAGGGTAGTCGCACTTGCGCCACAAGCGTCCGGGGGGGGACATCATGAGCACAAAAGCCTGAACCCGTTTCAAGGGATGCACTCCGAGGCGTTTCAACACCGGGATGCCGATGAGGTACAACAGTATTGGAAGATGGTTCTCACGTGAACTCAAAAAAAAGCAATATCGCAGCGAATTGCCTCGGGTGGAAAGTCTAGCCGAGTCTAGCCGCTAGCCTTCAGCCAATGCTTTTGAATGCATGGCGTCAGCTCCTCAGATTTTTGAAAAGTTTCAGGGCAGTTGGCCCAGAAGCTCATGGCAATCGTGAAGTGGCAAGCAACACGCCCACAGCGAGAACACGGGTAATTCATGTGTTCGTGATGCTGAAGACGTGATATCCTCGTTGACAAGTCGTAAAATCTCATGTAAACAGTCCGTCTCGGTCTACAACGATATTCAGCTAGTTCCTTTCAACTGCAAGACAAGGTTGCTGATCCTGCGCGCGCTGCAGGGCCTCAGCGCAGGCCTAGAACGTGCGGAAAGAGCTGCAAGCTCTGGATGGCGGTCTATAAATAGGTTACTTTGTGGGAATTTGTTGGTGTTCATGTGTCGAAGTGTTAAGAGCTTCGCGAAGAATGACCTCCGACTTCAGATTTTGCCCGTCCCGACGTGCAATGCCACATTCGCCCACCGGCCGTCACAACTGACTCAAACGCAGCGTATGAGCTGGTGTGGCGTTTCTCTTCCCAAGATTTTCCAGTGGCATAAAGACATCATGGCCGGTAGCCCTACATGGCTGTAAGATGGATGTGCACGTTGCCTTTCGGACGGTTGCGTCCAGCAACATCTATGGAGCTGCAATCAGCCATTGCAGCTCACCTTACACGTTTCGAAGTGAGGTTTGTGGGCGCTTGCCGAAGCAGTCGCATTCTTTACAGCAGTATCGTGGTGTTGGTGAACTGATGCAGCCTCTTGATCTTGTCATAGCACTGAACCCAGGTAGGCACCATGAATAGCATGAGAAATTCTGAACCGGTCTGAGGACTGCAACAAATCGTTGCTTCTAGCGTCTTCCACATAACCCTAGACAGTGTTGTGAATGCAGCTGTCAACGACCCGTAAGTCCGGGTTGACCTTGCCCAGTTGTGGGACTAGCAGAATCCTCAATTGACAGGGGACAGGAACTGTCGAGGCGCAATTCTCACCGCCCACTCCAGTCAAGGGAGTTTACTTATTCTTGTAGTTGGACGGGCGCCCTACTGAAAGACACTTATGCAACCTTCCAAAATCTATGTACGCCCCATGTGTATCCGGCTTTGCAGGCAACCGGTCACCGACTGAATGTCATACATACATGCATACATACATACATACCTGTGTACATAGTGTGTAGATATGCACATATGTACGCCAATGTGTATATGCATGAGCATACAAGCAGGCACAAGCGCGCACACACGCGCGCAAGCTTATGTATGTATGTATGTATGTATGTATGTATGTATGTATGGACATGTGTAATGTATGATTATGTGCTGTAACGTAATGTAATGTGACCAATGTATGTATGCATGCATACACGTATGCATGTGTACGTATTTGTCTATTGATCTCGTTTCTTGTGCAGGTATCATGACATCTGTGTGTGGATAATGGGTGTGTTAGTTATGTATGCATGTTGGCCGCATGAGCCGTTGAAGCAGCGACCGTTGCAGGCGGCGAGCTGGGCCCCATTGTTTCCTACTTCGCAGAGACTGCACCTTCAGGATGGTAGCGTGGCTTTAGGGGTGTGGGTTTTGTGTCGCTTGCCGTGCTTAGTCCGACCTGGGTCTGTCTGGCGTTCCAATCGTTTCAGTGCTGTTGCAGGGTCCAGTCTCCCATGTACACACATGACGGTACTTTAGGCTGTGTGCATTCGTTCCGTGCAGTTGCTAATTGATGTGAGCACTGTACAGCAGTGTAACCTGCTGCCCTGTTCACATCCTCTTCTGGGCATGCAGTTGTCTGTGCGGCCTTTGAGTCCAAGCTGAGGAAGCGCACTAGCACTGGCTTGCTGACATCCACCGCCGGTGTTGGCCACCGGGCAAGATTTCAAAGCACGTACGGCAAGGCAACCGCTTTTTGGTTCAGGCGCGATGCTGCTTCAAGGCATCGTCTTTTGTGATGTGTAGCTACAGGCCAACATGTGAAACAGAGGAAGTTGTGCAGTTGCCCAAAGCGTTCTGTTCTTTGAGGCTTCTTGATGGCCAATCTCGTGGTAGCCTTGACGGTGAACTTACTTGGTACAGAGGCGACGGAGAGTGGTGCCAAGAATGTGCTTTCAGGTGGTGGATTTATAGAATGTGCTGTTCTGTTCTACAACTATTGAACTGACAGCTCCAAGCTGCGCCTTGAAGACCAGCTGGCCTAGATCATGCTCTTATCATGGATGGAATGGAGCCCTGCACCGAACAATCCACTGCCCAATTTCTCAAACTCGTGCGTGTGTGTGTGCTCGTGCCGCAAACCCTTCCTGCAGCATCCTGCAGCTAAAGGGGATATAGTCCATGCTTTTGTATGTCGGCGGACTTGGCGACGCCTTCGGCATGGACTTTGCGTGCACTGTCCGCTTAGTCTAGGTTCGTGTTTTGCTTGACAGGAGATGAACAGATGGGGGTGGCGACTGCCTTTCCTGCTAGCACTACCACCAGGATTCGGGCACTTCGGGTTTCAGATGCCGCAACACGGGGACCATGCGCGCGAAGCAGTGTCTGCCATGCTTTGTAGCATCATGGGGTGCAATGCACCAGCGGGTTCAGACAGGCTTCACCGAACCAGGGAAATTACTCGGATCTCCCAGCAACATGGACAAACATGTCTCAGCAGGAATTAGACTCGTGCGGCCACTGTGATGCATGTTCCACTGTAGTTGAAGCTTCGTTTCTGAGAGGCCTCGCACGGATTGTCCCAGTTGTGAGAGTCGAAGCTCCGACCCGAGAGCCCCAAGACCAACCAACCGCCGAGTGCAAATGATCGCAGGACTTATCTCTCTCTGGGGCCGATCCAACATGTCTGAAACAGCCGAGTTCCTCCGCACGAAGGCAGAGCGCAGCGAGGCCTCAGTTCTGGAGCTGAGTGTGCACGATGCACTCGTGGGGCTTTAGCAGCATGCTGGACGGACATGAGCTTGATGTTGCTGGCGGTTTCGCGTGAACGCTGGCGAAAACTGCCACACGCAAGTTCATATGCTAACTACCCGATTACTACCCGCAGTCGCAGTAAGAGCTCCAGAAGCGTCCGGTCTCAGAATCAGTATATATGCATCTTCCTGTTTCCTCATAATTACCAGTAGCTGAAGCTTGCCGCAGGATCACGCACATCACAGGCGAGGAGCCCGGCTTTTGTCCGGGCCCTGTGGGAATTCTGGCAGTGGACGGGGTTTGGTGCCATTGACACTGTCAGCCAGTTTTCGAGGTTGGTTGGGTTTGTGCCAAGTCGCTGCATTGCCAGAGACGCCTTGGGGGCCTGGACCATGCGGATCTGAAGCGAAGCAAAGTTCTTCCGCGAAAGCAAATCTGGTCACACCCTGTATGGCACGCTTTTGACTGTCCCGCATGCTTGGGGCCCTGGTTCGAGATCACGGGATAGGTCCGTGTGTGATGATGTGCGGCCCCCCCCGGCTTGTTGTAACATCGTGCGGGTTGTGCTTCGTTTTAGTTTGACTGGCTTCGATAGGCTTCAATGGGATTTTGAGATGACGTGCTTCCGTGTCACTGTTGATCTGCTTGTTCGAGATTAGCAACAGATGTTTTGTTGGCTTTCGCTCGCCAAAACCCCAAACCCTATAAGCCCTATATGACAAAAGCCTTGAGGAATCCAAGAACCGTAGAGTCAGTATGACAAAAGCCTTGAGGAATCCAAGAACCGTAGAGTCAGTTAGTGAAATGGTTGCCCCGATTATGATTCTAGTCGTGCGGCACCGCAAACGACTGGTTTGCAGCAATACGGGTTCGATTCAATACCGGCGCACTCACAGAGCAGCCACCGCGGCAGCGACAACCCCGACGATTGCAACGCCACAGCACGCGTCTATCGATCACGGCAGGTTGGTCATGATTCCCTGCAAGTAGTCATCGCTGAGGCTGCTGTTCCGAGACCACGGATTGGCATCTTGACCTTGCTGCTACTCCTACAAGGTCAAGACTTTGGTCACCACCTTGGGGTTGGATGTTGAGGCTTGAGGGCATGGGTTGGAGGAATTTCGCGTCAGATGGGCTTGGTGGTGTGAACCCTGAACCCCAGCCTTGTGCGAGCCGTGAGAGTCGAAACCACGTGGTTTCGTCCGTGCCGAGAGGAGGGAAAAACAGGATCTTGAGGAGTTGTTCGGCTCCGGAAGCCAGTCATCGCGTCATTACAGCCTATGTATATGCATCCAAGCAAGCTCCCGAGCCGAGGCAGTTGTGCTGGGCTTTTGGGGCGTTGGAGCAGTGGCTGTGGCCTACTACTCCGGGCTCTGGTGCCGGCACGGGAGTGTTTCTTCAGAAAATCGGAAATCGGAAAACTTGGTGAGTAATGAGGTGGATGATGCATAGAGTGCTGGAGTCGCTTCCCCGATCAGGTCCTTGTGGCTATCAGCCCCCACCACCCACCGCCACCACCACAGCCGTAACTCCTGATGTTCCTCCGTCTCCGCGTACTGCGCTGCAGGCGAGGTCGTTTATAGTCGTCGTAACCCCTTCCCCCCATTATTATACCCCCCCCTAATACAACAACTCCTGGCCCCGGAATTTCGCGGTTTCGTGCCCACAATTGAAAGTCAATTAAAACATTAGGGGGGTGGGCTAGGATTGTATGAGTTTTACTAGAGCCAAAGATTACAGCTGTAACAAAGACAGTAGAGCTTTCGGGTTTAAGGGTTTAGGGCTCAGGGCTAAAGCTTTAGGGCTTGGGGCTTTAGGGCTTAAAGTTTAGGGCTCAGGGCTTTATAGAGCCAAGGATTACAGCAGTACTAAAGACAGCAGAGCTTTAGGTTTAAGGGTTTAGGGCTCAGGGCTAAAGCTTTAGGGCTTGGGGATTTGGGGCTGAAAGGGAATTGCTCGCTGTTGACTTGTTTGACTGATTCCTGTCAACCCCACTCATACGTGGATGCACCGAACCCCCCCCTAATATATAAACTAAACCTCCGAAATCCAGTTTGAATATTAGGGGGGAAGGGACGTTTAATATTAGGGGGAAGGGATTACGTGATCTCCGGCAGCAGTTGGCATCGTCGTAGTACAGCTCGTCGTTCTTCTCCTCGCCGTCCTAATCACCGTGAATTTAGTATGTGGAAGGCTTGCACTACCAAGAAGACGAGGAAGCAGATACTGAAGAGCGTGGAAGCACAGGAAGAGGATGAGCAGCAACTGGCATCGGCAGCGACAGAAGAGCAGCTCTAACCATGGACGTAGTCGGTCTCGGTGGATTTTAATTAAACCCTATTACTCGTATCTTGATCTCCATGCAGCTCTGGTTCGGCTAGATGCAAGATCTCCGAGCCGTCGCCCCAAGACAGCTGGCAGGTGCCCGTCGTACCTGAAGTCTCGTGGATTGAGCCAGGTGCAGGGGGTCGGGGTCGGGGAGCGATAGTTCTATCGGTGTTGAGGCTTCAGCTTCGCCTCTTGGGCCTTGTGGTTTGCCTTGCGCTTGCAGCCTTGACCCTTCATGGTGAGTTGTGGGGTCCCAGAATTTTCGATATAATACATGCTGTGTGTTTGGCAGTGCATTTGGCCGGGACCTGCACCGGCAGACCGCTGCCAAGCTTTCGAATCACCAAAGGCAGACTTTCGCCCAGCAGCTCATTCCCGTAGCACTGTTTCAGCCGTGCCCGTTGTTGCCAGAACCGTCCCAAAGCCTGGCTTGTTTACAAAAACACGAGGCCGGATCAGGCATCGTTTCGATGAGATTTCGTCCGATAAATTCCTGGTCAGGTGGATTCCTTGGTTGCCGGCTGTGTCTTCGCAGGCTCCTGGGACTTCGTTTGTGGCCGCAACTAAGAAAGAGAGCCAACTCACATCTGCGAAGTATACTATCGCGAGCTCGCACCTGTTTACTTATATGATGTTGACGCACGGCACCTTCAATTTGGCGTTACTCGGCATCTGTATAGTCCGTGCCTCTGAGGTATAGTAGCTTTGAACTTCTTCCTGGTCCCATTTCTGAATGCTGCTTGGGAAGAAGCATGTGTGCTGAAGACGTTCTTTCATGTGGCGGCTGCGCCTCGGGTAGCTGTGTGAGGTTGAGATGGCTTTAGAGTACATCTGAACAGGGCAGCCGTTGGAATCCGATGGGCTGGCACGTTGATGTCCGGAGGCAATGTCAGGACTTGGGGGTTGTCAGGTTTAACATATACGGTGAAACTTTTTTTGAATTTGGCCCGGCCCCGACAGCCACGAGGGTATTGGAGAATAGCTGTTCCAATGTTTAGACATCAGCATCTTCAAACATGGTCACCGTTTCTTCATGTTCATGTAGCTCTGGCGCGATCCTTCTTTCTCTCTCCTTCTATTTGTCTCTCGGTGCCTCCTTCTTTCTCTGATTGGCTCAGATGGCGTAACCATATGTAGGCACTTTTACAAAAAATAAATCGACTCGCCTGTGACTTGATACAACACTGCCATTGACTTCGTGCCCGTGCTCAGGATCTCTGCTGCCGCATCGACCCGATGGGTGTGATGCTCTTCGGCAGTCTGGGACTCGCTGTCACCGGGTTCCTGGTTTTCGCTGCCGCTTGGCTTCAGTGGGTCGAGGGAAGTGAAGTTTCATACTAGAACAGTAGAAGCCTAGAAGCCCAGCAGATTCGTTCTTGGGGCTGCTGTCTTGCTCTTGGACTTCTGAAAAACTCGGGAACCGTCGTGCGCAATGATGTGCGATCTCAGAAAAAGGCTACCTGCCTTTTTTGGTTAATGTCATGCCGACTTTATCTGTGGGGGTGTCCAGGCTCTGTTTTCAGGGGCAGGCTGGGTCGGCTGTTTTTTTTTTTCTTTGGTGGGGGTGGGTTCTGCACGAATGAGATCCCAAGCTTGCCGCTACTGCCGCTTGCATGTCAGCTGCGGGTAGAATTTATTGCCATGCGCTTGGCTCTCCTAAGTGTTCCAGCCGGAGTCTCTGAGGCAATTAGCTCGGCCACCCAGAACTTGCTGCTGCCAGGCTTTGTTTCGAAAGCTTTGGTATTTTTGAGCTTCGAGCGAATGTGAGAGTGACAAGATTCAAAGCCCAAACTTGAAGTGCGTGGCAAAGCTTCTCCAAGATCGATCCGTCATAGTTGTTGGAGAGCCTGTCTTGCCATCCTTCTTCACACAGTCTTGCTTGGAGTTTGGAGAGCCCGTCGGTGGCCCGTACAGCCGTGAAGCTGCCCTGCACGTCGCTGGCCCGTCGGCATCAGTTCCAGCACCACGGAGGTAATGGTCGCAGGTTGAAGTTCCACTGCTCCACGCCAAATCCCTCTGCATTGTCCGCGTGTGAGTGCCGCCGAAACCGTAAGCCTTTAGCTTTTTTGGGAAGTGGGTGCAAAGGCTGATCTCGACCCTCGTCCTCGGCCTGGCATATGGCACCATGGTCGGCTTGACGGGCTCACACATGCATCTCGGCTGCTTCCGGGACCAATGTTTGTTTGCTTTTGCTCAGTGCGCATAGATGCCGGCGATGAAGGTTTCCACCAAGGGGAGTCCGCAAGTCTAAGGTACATTTTCGTCGCGGACCTCTTCCCGACTTCCTTGCGGGCCTTAGGACTGCTTTGGCGATGTGTAAGGGGTCGAAATATGCTGCTACAATAGGCTCTTCTATGCTGGTTGATCGTTGTTCATGTATCCGGCCTTCGGCACCCGCATGAAGCTAAAAGGGGCGTCTGATGTACACTAGGATGTCCACTGGCATCATCCCAAGCAAAGCTCGCAGCCCAAAAGGATTCGGTCTCAGCTTCAACCTGGCCTTTGCAATCCTTGGAGGTCCCAGAGCCGGCACTTGTGTTAAGTCCTTTGGTTCTGGGCTCGGGGTGATTTATCAGCATCGCGAATGATGCAAGTAATGAGCGCCGTGGGAATGACTGCGAGTCTTCCTGGTAGGAGGAAACGCATCTGTCTCTGGGAATTGTTTTCGGTTTTATGTACTTTAGGGCTGGGCTTTGAATAGCAGCGTCTCCTCCGAGATCACGGAGCTATGGAACAGTTGGGACTCAGAGTGTAAGTCCGGTTCCTCGCGTGGTTCTTCTTCACATACTATTGTCAATGTCAAAGCTTTAGATGCTCCAACCAGGCGTCTTCTTCAGGCTGCAGAGTGGGCAGAACGTCCGGAGCAGTAGGTTGGTGGCTCTTGACGGTTGGTTGCCGCCGTTTGGTCCTGTGGGCTATGAAGCCTCGAGCATTCCTGCTACAGACCTTTGTTGCGTTGATGATGGCGTTCTTTGCACTCTTGCTGAAGCTGCGGCTTGGATGCTCAACGCCGGAAGCATTCAGTGTGCGGCTCCTTGGTATACATGTTTCTTTCATGCGGCCACACAAGACCCGCTACAATTCTTTGGGAATGCTCGCTCCAGCGGAACGCAGGCACTGCATCACTGGTGGACGCTGCATTGGCGGACGCACACTTCACCTTCGGGGTCGCTCGGTTCTGTGCAAAGTGTTTGCAGTTTGGCTTTCGGGGTTCAGGATCTGGGCTTTGCTTGCCGTTGGAGCGGTTGGGAAAATGCACGGTTTAGAATTTGGAACGCAGGGGGGCCTGTGCACTCTTGTGACCAAGACCCCGAGATAGCAACGCAACTTGAAGAACCCCTCCCGCATGCGGCACGGCGCGGTTGAGATTCACAGTCTTAGACTTGGAGTGTGCAACAAGCAGGGCTGTGTTTTCGGCCTTCGTGTGTCGCAGTTCCACTGGGAACGGTTGCTGGAGTTCACTCAGAATAGTCACGGAGTGGCCGGTGCACACCGTACAGCCTGAGAAGCACGAAGGCATTTGTTGAGTCTTTCTCAATATGCATTCATCAAACTGCAAAGCTTCGAGAAAGATGATACCAGCAAAGGTCTGAGCTTGGTGTTTTTGTCACTGAACTGTTCTGAATTTGACAGGTTGGGCTCTACTGGTCCATTCTGGGTCTCGGCAGCGTTCTGGCTTTGTCAATAGGCGGCCTGTCAGCAAGCCGACCCGCGTCGTGAGAGACTTGGGTTGTGTTTTGTTTGCATTTCAGCGCTGCGTCAATGCGACATTCGCGCGTGTTTTGTTTACCCGCCTGGGCACGGCTTACCCTTGATCACCCTAAGGTGGGATGTTTCTTCCTTGGGTTGTATGAGAATGTCTGGCACATGAGGCTGATGCAGACAATTAGAAGCTGTATCGAAATCTGCGCATGGTACACTCGACACCAGGCAGCCGGGAGACACTAGGACACTGGGAATCCTGCCTTCTTGCCAAAGCCATGGTGTCCTTGTCCCTGATGTTATCCGGCGTTGTGAATTTCCTCATTTTCCGCCTCCGTGATTCGTTGCTGCCGAAGGCTGAATACAGTCTCCTCGTTTCTCTTCCGGCCGCTGATGCGAAATGGAACCGTTATTGGGATCCGAATGTAAATCTAATGATTAATTGGCATGGAGTTTTACCTTTCCTGCCCATCCTGTCCTACCTCTCAGTTTTGCCGATCTGTCGCAAGCGATGGCGTGAAAGTTATCAGTTCAAATGTTCACTTTTCCTGTATTGTCGGCTGGTTTCTCCTCAATTTGTTCTTATCATTCTACTAAGTGCTGCAATCGCTGGCCGGAGTACAGGCAGATGTTTGCGCTCGCATGGGCGATTGCCAAGCCAACTTCTCGTGAACAAGGCACAGCACCTCGCATTGCTGTGGTATTTGTTATTCTGTCGTTGAATGGTGTCAGGATCTAGCTTAGAGTACAGGTCCCCCCTTATCAAGCCGCCTCCCTTAATATAACATGATGAGTTGGGCTCGGAGGGTGTTATTGGGGGTGTTTTGGGAACGGGTTGGTGGGGAACTCGTGTAATTCGCAGTCGGCAAACACGCGGCCCTGCCGCTTGCAATTCCCCTGAAGTCCTAAGTACGTGCTAGTCCTGCTTTAAAGCCCGGAGGAGTTGTACCTTCATGACCACGAATCCCACTTGTCACTAGCTGGTCAATAGTATCAGCTGTACCAGATTGAAGGCTGTTAGGGTTGATGGCTCACTTTCCGCACTGACCCAGTTCGGACGCATCAGTCAATGGCTGGCGGCCGGAGCACTTAAAGATGATCATCGTAGTTTGGACTGTTGGCCAGTGAGGTTGTTTGTGTCAGCTACCCGCAGTAGTTCCGAGACCTGTCGTCGCGTTCCCTGCCAGGAAGTGCCGAGAGTGAGAGTCCGAACCCCAAGCCCGAAACCGTTTAGCCTTGAGATGTTCGCTGGCACACAATCCAAGCCCATGCTGAAAAGATGTGGACGGTATTGAACTGCACCGTAGGCTGTGGTCGTTGATGCTAGAACTACCCACTGAGCCTTGGAGGCTGCGAAGCCACGTATGAGAGGTAAACCCTCAAGGTCTACCCCTGCAGGGACCAAGGTCCTTTAAGAGATGACAATCACTCTCTGCATTACGAGTATCCGAGCTCTAGCTGTTGTTAGATTGAGAAGAACAGCAAGCCTTGTGGTCATATGGTCATCACATCGTCATCATCAGCACCTTTTCATCTGTACCCGAAGTCATGCAATGCGCAATTGCTAGGATTACCCCGTTCATCAGAGGCCCGTGGTAGTCGCAGATTGCCTAGAGCTAATCAGGAGAAGAACTGTGTATCCACAAGTGTACCCTGCATCGTAGGTTCGTCCTAGCCAGGCGGGAGGCAAAAATCAGGAGAACAATCGCAACATAAACTGGTAGTCTCAGTCTAACCTTGAGGAAAACCATTGCCTCCCCTTCGAATTCGGGCCTGTAGACTGCTTTCGAAGTCCAGGACAGCGATTCGCCGGGAAGAAAGCTTGATTCCTCGGAAGACGAGGGGTCCCGCGGGCTGGTTCAGTGACGATCTCTTGGTGGTCAGGGTGCCGTCTTTGGCAGGGGCACGCTAGGCCGTGCTTTCGTCGTGAATTCGTGTTGGAAGCAAGGTATCTAGGTTTGGTTTGGTTTTTGACGGGAGAGGGGCGGGGCGGAGGCCTCCAAAATCGTGAAACCCTATACAGATTATTGCCCTGGGCTTCTACTATCTTCACCTACATGAGCACCTATTCCGTGCATTGTCCCCTTTTTCTGCCCAACCCTTATGCGAGCCGGAGATCGGAGAAGTTGAATCCAAACTGTGGCCTTGTGAGCCTCGCAACTCAACCCTCGTCACAGGTGCGCGAGATCCCACCAAAGACTCCGAGCCACAAACCATGAGCCTCGCCTCCTAACATCAGATAACCCGAGCCGTCGAAGCCGAGATCCCTGACATCGATCGGGTCTTCAAAACATGAAGGCCGTGATCCGTCTCGGTGGCTGGGGATGTTTTGGTCCGAGTTTCGAGTTCGAGTTTGGGCTTCTGGTTTTGGCAAGCTTCGCGACTCTTTTTGATGTGCTCTTGGGGGTTATGCCTGAAAGTAACGGGGCTGTATATCGCCGTGTGGAAGCACGGGTTCAAGGGTTGTTAAGATGTTCAGGTTTAGGGGCAATTCGTGTGCTCTGTCGTTTCTTGGCCGCCCTCATGACAACTTGCCAATCAAGTTGGAATACCAGTGGATATGACCTGATGGCATTAACGTGGACATTTTGATGTCTGCCTCATACACATGCACATGAAAAAGTACACACATATGTATGTCGGTGTGTATGTATGTATGTACCGACGTAGGTATGTATGTGTGTACGTCTATAAGTGTACACAGATAAATATGCACACATATACTGCATGCGGAATCAGGGCCGTTCTCCTGGGAGACTTCTGTCAACGACTCAGAGACATCGGAGGTGTCCCTCGTCTGCATCTGGCTTATATCTCGGCCCCTGGGGCCCTTCAACCCAAGAGTCCCAAACCCCGAAGGGCCGCCAAACCTAAACCCCGAAGTGTTGGTCGTGTGCATCTGGGTGTGTACATCAAGCTGCTTTGCTGGTGTGCTTGTCGTACCTTTTGGGCCACTAGGCTCCCATGTTTTGGGATGCTTGGGATTTTGTTATGATTGGACGAAGAGCTCCTGACCTTCGAACAGACTGAAGCCGACAGTAGCAGGAGACCTGATTTGTTCCGGAGTTGCCGCCGACTGTCCTGCCCGCTCAGGTGAGAAACATGACCGAGGTGAAAAGCTTGGCGGCAGATGGTTGCTCTCTTCATAGCGACAGCCTGAGCAAGCTGAAGCTTGATTGTTTGAAAGGCTCAGTTGCAAACCGCCAACGGAGCTTCTCACCTCGAACCTTAAATGCTTCAGCCCGCAATATTTATATACGTTCTGACATGTCTGCTCATGGCAGTCCTTATTACGAGGACCCCCTCCTCCCAACGCCGAAGCGAGGCCGCACACCTCGCGTAAGTACACAGAGCTCTCCAGCAGGCCGCCTGCCCTCGCATCACAGAAGCATCTTCGAAGGAGGTGCCAGGGAGAACCTGGCACAGAACGGGTTTACCCGGAAATGGGTGTTCGGGTATGTGTGCTATGCCCGAACTATATAGGGACCAACGAAGGGACAGAAATGCATCATAGTCACAGTTATTCCGGGCCCTGTTTTACGGTCTCCGGTGCTTAACTAAACCTTCCTCAGTCCCGTGGGAGTCCATTCTTGTTGGGGTTTTTTATGTGTCGAGTTAAGGAAGGGTTTCTGATAATTCTTAAGGACTGCCTGGGGGGTTCATGACTTTCTTGAAGACTTCTGCGAGGAGGCATCCAGGGGGCCTGGCCTTTATACAGAGCTGTATCCTGCACAGAGCCTGCTGCAATCGTTTCCAGAGCTCTATATTTCGAGTCATGTCCAGATGTGAAGGCAACAGCGCCCGTACCAAGCCTCAGCATGGTACCAAACATATATGCTGCCAGTTTCATGTCCTTGCGACTAGTTGCTGTTGCCTTCGCGATGCTGATTCTGTACAGTTCAGCTGTAAAGAACCGCAACAGAAGATTGCACCCAGTCCACTATCTGGCCATCAAGACGCCAGCAATTGCATTGCTCAGCCTTATGATTGGGTAGAACACCTGCCAAAAGTTCAGCTCGCGATTGGGGGTAGTTGCTTGCATTGGCAAGACGGAACAGGATTTTTCGGAGCTTTTTGGGTGTCCGTGAGCGGCGCGATGCGCAGGTACCACATACTTACTGGGCCTTCACTTCAGGCTACCGATGGGCTTGCAGCTAAGTATAGACGAACGGGTAGCAGAACTGGCAGCAAGACACACACACACACACAGAGGGTTCGCGACAGCATGGGATAGGATTGCTGGGTGTCATGGTTTGGGATTGAAGTCCCAGTAGCAATTCTGACCCTCGTTGTAGATGGAATGGAAGTAAAGTTGTAGTAGTAGCAGTGACTAGCAGTAGCCGCAACCGCGATAGCGGCAGTAGCAGTGTTTGTAGTGATTGCAGTCGTACTTTCAGTCGTCGTATTCGTCAGCCTAGAATCCCGAAGCGCTTGAGAAAGCCTCAAACCTTGCACCCGAGAATTGGAAAAACCTAATTTTTGCGCCTGGGCGTTTCTCTGTACTGCACTGCATCTTGTCTCTTTCTTTGCTTTTCACCGCTGCGTCTTGACACTTCTGCCTCGCACACCGCGCTCGACTCGATTGCTTTTGACAAAAACGTCAGACAGATGTGATCGCGCTCATTGACGTCGTTAGACAGTGAACAAGCCGCACTGCTTCCGCTGCGACAGCGGCGCTTGGAGGCCGACAATTCCACGAGGCAGTAGTGCACTTAGGTGGTGAACAGCTGGCTCGGGATGGAAATGCACCACTGTATATGTTTGTGTGCCCCACTTTGAGACCTGTCGTGCTCGTTGGGGCTTGCCCGTTACACCCTAAGCCCTGAAGCTTGAGACCACAGAGGCTCTCAACCCTAAGACACATACCCAAAGTCTTGAGAGCCGAAATACGGATAATATGTACCCTATAAAGACTTACAAGCCCGAAATCCCTAAGCTAAGCCAGTGGCTGGGAAAACGCCTCCTTTCTTGAAAACTTGTTCAACACCCCTATAACGCGCTTAGGTCCTTATATATAAATACAAATCCGAAGCCCCACAGATCCATGCAATTTCCAGGTGAGGAGTTATGGGGTGGGAAGTCCAAGTAAGGTGGCGTGAGGCGGGGGGTGAGTGGGGGTGGTTGGCGGCAGGCTCATCGCTCGATTTGGTAGGTTTAGGGATTTCGCATTCAGGGTTTAGGGAAATGGAATTTGTCGGCGCGAGGGCCCCGCAAAACCAAATGCTAGAGACCAGGCAGGGCCCCCGGCATAGCCCTTACATGGCGCCCTGAGATAAGGTTTTCAAGGCACTTGCACAGCCATTGTTTTCGTGGTACTTGCATTGTCCACTGTTGCTGGTATGTGCTGGCACACGACAACACCAGATCTTGATCCCCTGTGGCCTTTAACCCGGCATGAACACTCACATAGACTGCACGAGCCAAGCCCCTGTATAGGATAGTGCTTACATAGGACTTCCTTGAGCCGTCTATACAAAAAAAACTTGGAAGCCTTATGTAAGCAGCACCTGCGGCCTATGTGTCGGAAACACACAACCCACCCACCAACTACCCACGTGGAAATTCCCTTGAATAAACCCTAAACCCTTAAACGTTGCGTTAAAATCGTGCCCTGCCCATAGGCTCCATAGTAGTTGCTTTTTGGGATTGCCTTGTAACGGAGCTACTATGGAGCCCATAATCGAAGGGAAAAAGGAGGGACCCTTCATGGAGATCCCTACCTTATGACAGGCTAAAGCATGGGTATATAAAGGCTATGTTATTGTTGTACACCTAGGGGTCCTTATTAGGGGTCTCAGTCCCCTTTTTTTTTTGAGGCTTGGAAGCTCTTATGGAAAGACCTTCTCTGGAGCGCGCTTCGCGTCGCAGCTGCACACCCCAGGCGGGCGCGGGCTTGGGGGCTTATGGGATCAGGAAACCGTACTACGTACCAAAGATCCCTCTTATGGTAAGTTAATTTGGGGGTTTATGGGACACAGTATAAGCCCCGTAACCTTGGAAACCTGAATAACGCCAAATTGTGCTAGGTCCTTGCTAGGTTCATGTATTTAAGTTTCCATATTTAAGGAACCATACTATTTACTATAGATCTCCATTGTGGCAAATGCAATTAATTAAATCTCTTAACAGAACCCAGTTACGGGACAAGCCCCATCAAGTTGGAAAGCCAAATTGTGCTGGGATTCCCTAGACAATACTCTTAAGGATTGAGGCTATTGGGCTTGCCACTTTTTGGCTTCTACTGCAACCGGACCATCGTTCGAATCTCGAGCCAAGCATTTTAATTTCTGGGTGGTACTAGCGACAACGAGCCGATTGAGTCGATGATCTCACACTACCTAGGTTCCTGAGTGGTACCCTCTTGCTCTTGTCATTTTCGGGTACCCGGGTTATACTCGTGGTTAGCTACACTAAACACCCTTCTACCTCCCTCCCTCGTCCGGGCCAGGAACTTCTGCTCGCCTCAATAGCCGCCTGGCTCTAAAAGTTATAGGGTTTAGGGTTTAGGGCTTGGTGCATTGCAATCTCTGCTAAAAAGGGTGAACGGGTTTAGTGATTTAGGGGTCCAACACTGAAGCCCTAACTCCAAAAACCTTCAGAGCAGGTCTTTGTTGCACTCCCCTGTTGTGCTGTGCTTCTCCCGCCTGCTCTCCCGGCTCCGAACCGTGGACCTGATGTGCCGAGTTTTTGTGCGACGAGCGTAATACCGAAAGCCCTCAATATTATTGCAAACGTTGAATGAGTGTTGCGCTGGAATTGAACTCCATGACGGATTGGCTTGTTCGAGTCTTCGGGAGCGTCAGTCCTTGCGAGGGTTTCGGGACCTTAGTGATCCGTTTATAAAAAGAGGCATCATGTGTCATTTTCTGGGACATGTTGTCCACAAAAACTCTATGTTGGCTGGTTAGATGTCTCGGTTCGGGCTTTTCCGGTTTTGTTGTTTTGTGGTGTCGGCATATCGCGTGACTCTGCTTCGCAGGCTTCAGCATCCAAAACACCGGAGCTTTCGAACCAACAAATCTCAGAGAGCTGGAGATCTTGCAGCTTTACAGTAGTAACATCGATTGGGGGATTAAGACGGGTCACGATGGTTGCAGTAAGCTGATGTGTCGAGGCTGGTTCCAGCGATTGGCGAGATGCCTGAACAAGAAGGCGGTTCCCTCCGAGAAGGGCATGTTCCTTTTGCCTTTGCTTGACGTGGCATGATGTAGTCAGTGCTTTCCTGCAAAAAACGTACCATATATGGTCAGGCGTCTGGCGTTCCCAGCCCCCCCCCCCCCCCCCCCCCCCCCCCCCCCCCCCCAATGGTATGGTCTGCTAGGGTGGGGGGGGGGCTGGCGTGCGGACAGGGGTCGGGGCCGTTGGAGCTGCCACTGGATGGTGGGATGGTGCTGGCGGCCAGGGCTCACACGCAAGCCCTTCGCAAGCAAGCCGTAAACCCTATAACGCAGCGCGTGCCCTTGAACCTTTGGCCTAAGCAGACACACTCCCGAACCACACCACACCACACCACAGGGACAGGGAAGCAACCCACAACCACACCACACCACACCACAGGGAGGAGTGGGGTAGCCAGCCTAAGCAGACCCACTCCCGAACCACACCACACCACACCACACCACAGGGAGGGGGAAGCAACCCACAACCACACCACACCACACCACAGGGGGGGAGCCATTTGGGGGGGGAGGGGGGGGGCCGGCCGAACCGGGATCATATATGGGGTTCTTGAGTTCATAGTAAAGCAGTAAAGAGAGCTATTTGGTTAGTTTGCCGCCTAATTATTTGCGCAACGTTCTGGAAAGCGCGGTTTTCACCACACTGCTTCGTATTTGGCCGAAACGTCCGAATCCTGCCAGAACATGGTGGTAGCATCTTGGTCACATCTCCGCTTCTCGCCAGAATTGAGGGGCAGCATTTTGGCCATGGTGCCCTGAAAACCACACAGGCCGGGGAAGCACTGCAGTAATGGTGTTTGCAGACTGCGGGATCAATTACTGGGACCGTTTTTGGGATTGTGCCCTGCAAACGCTGGACCCAAGCTTTGTGGTAATCGGCGTGTAGAACGCTGAGCCCCGCCAACACATCGGGGGAACC